AAAATTCTCCTAAGTTTACCGGCTATGGGCACGAAAATGCCCTAATGATGGAACAGACGCCAATTTTTGCCTCAAACAAAGGAAAACAATGAAGCAAAGTTTCCTACTGTTCTGGAAACCGGGTAACTCTCTCCTAGTGTCTATTCGACATCTGTCCTCATATGAGGACTGGTGCCTCATATGAGTACAGTGTTAACACGCGTCCCGCCTTTTCCATGTTGGCGGGAAACCGAAACCGATACATCCAAACAAATCCACTGCGACCTTGCAAAGAGGCCCAGGCAAGAAAATCACGTATAAAAGACATGTAACCTTCCTGCAAGCCATTTTAGTAGTGTCACCAGTCAATAGCTCATTTATCAAAGCCACTCCTTTTCCACCCCATGGTCCCTCCAGACTTGCGACTCGTTCCCAATTCCATTGTCCATGCCAAAGCTAGACACGTTTTGGAACGTTTACCGTGCCGGCAGATGTACGGGTCGCAATGGAATTCCAAGGAGCTCAAAGGCATTGTCATCTGTACTGAAAAAAATGTCCAAAAGTCAAGACACAGACATTTATTAGGGCGCATTGGGAGGTAGCATCGGGAGAGACTGTCAAAAGTGTGCTTATGCGTCACGTGCTTCCAGGCGCGCCCCACCCTCGAGACACAAATGGAGATATTTTGCATCATGGGCGTCACGAGACCGATGACATCAATGAATTTGCCGAAGACACTGCAGATTCGGCGGATATTTTACCACTATCAGTGTGTGACGAACCGCTCCCGGTAGATAATAATATGATTGCTCAACACAACGAAAGTCCTGTCTGTACCAGTGATTGTGAAATTACCGCAAACGGCCAGGTTTGGAAATCCTACAATGACGATGATCACATCAATGGAATGGTACGCTGCAAGCGCTGGGAGGTAAAATGCTCAGACGGGTCTATAGTTTCAGAGGGAAGCGAGTGGCGAGAGAGAAAACCAATAGACTATTTCTTGATGATGTTTCCTCTGGCGTACCTGCCAGCTATTGTCAGCATGACCTCCAAAAGTTTGAAGGAGAACGGACACAAGCACACAACTGTATCTGAAATTCTGAGATTTTTTGGTGTGCTTGTGCTGATGACAAGATTTGAATTTAGTGGCTCTCAACGCTTCTTATGGGCGACCAAACCCGCCACCAATTACGTTCCGATCCCTAATTTTGGAAATATTATGCCAAGGAGGCGTTTTGATGCCCTCTTTTTGCATACGAAATTCAGCAGTGGTCCAATCAGAAGCTGCAGCAATGGATCGTCAAATGACCGTTGGGTTATGGTCTCTGATTTTATGGAAGCCATCAACAATCACATAATTAAAACTGTCACTCCGTCCGAACTGCTGTGCGTTGATGAGTCCATATCGCGTTGGTATGGGTTGGGAGGTAGTTGGATTGACATTGGGCTCCCCCATTACGTCGCTATAGACCTAAAACCTGAAGCAGGATGTCAAATTCAAAACACTGCTTGTGGCACAAGCGGAATTATGTTGCGTATGGAATTTGTGATGTCTGCAGAGGACACAACTTCGAAAACATTCGAAGGCGATCTGAATCACGGCACAGCCGTTATCAAGCGATTGGTGGAACCTTGGGCGGGATCTAAAAGGGTCGTTATTGCGGATTCTTATTTTGCGTCAGTGCAAACGGCGGAAAAGCTAATGCAAGTTGGGTTGAGATTTACTGGTGTTATTAAGACTGCTACGAGACGTTTCCCCATGTCACATTTAGGGCGTGTTGAGTTGAGTGGACGTGGGGACGAAGTTTGCCTTCATACGACCATCCAACCAACAAGTACCTCTCTACTGGCCGTGTGCTGGCTTGATAGGGCTCGAAGATACTTTGTATCCACTGCTGGATCGATGAGACCAGGTAAGCCGTATGAGAGGATCAGATGGCAGCAACAGGAGGACGGGCCCTCTCGAGTCACCATCAGAGTGAACCAGCCGCAGCTCGTTGAGCAGTACTACAGTGCATGTCCGGCTATTGACAGGCATAACCGCTGCCGCCAAGATGACTTGGCGATGGAAAGAAAAATTCAAGTCAAGGATTGGGATAAACGGGTTAGTTTGACATTGCTCTCGGTTTTTATAGTGGACTCCTGGCTAGTCTACAAAGGTGGGAGGGGGGCAAAGGGGCTTATGCCACAGCACGTTTTCTACGAGAAGTTGGCTGAGGGTCTGATTGATAACAAGTTTGGACCTTCCACTTTTCGAAGGGTTACAAGTGACAGTTCCATCGACGATGGCTGCTATTTTCCAACCAGTGGAATCAAGGGGCACCTTTCGCCGACCAAGCGTAGAAAAACCTGTTTGGGTGAGTTGACAAACGCAGTTTTTCAGGGACGTTGCGCTGTGTGCCAACAGTTTAAGTCGAAGTTTTTATGCTCCGGCTGTCGTGATAAGGCCAACTTGAACTGTTTTATTTGCCACAGCCAGACAGGCCGTTGCTGCTTTACGAAACACATGGAAGCTGAGCACAATCAGTAAAAGTATCTCACTGCGTCGTCGCCGACAGCGCACAGGACTGGCTACTTCTGCACAGTTATGTTTGTCGGAATTCTCATCTTCTCATCTTCGTTTAGTTTTGAAGGTGACACGCAGACCACGGTGGTATTTGTGGCGGTGCATTAGCACTTATGCTAGCATGCCTCATATGAGGAAAACGAGGCCTCATATGAGGAAAAATTGGTGTCGAGTAGACACTAGCGACGCGTGGCGCGGCAGTCCTGCACCCTTTCCGAGGGGTGCGGTGGTGTGACGCGGCAGTGGCGGGGCTCACGAGGGCAGCAGACTGCTCTGTGCAGTTGTGCTTGCTCCAGCAGTTTGATAATGTCAAGCGGCTGGGGATCGTGTCTCTCCCAGATTTACTCACCCAAGCCAGAGCCGGCTTGATATGAACAAGTGGAGCTATACCTACGTATCGCAAAACGCAAACAGAACCATATCTCCCTGATGTGGGAGTTGTCCCCGACTAATTAATATCTAGAAATTAACCAATAAAATGTCCAACATCACAAGTTGATTGTTCGAATAACTTCCTTATGTAAGCACCATCACTTATGTAAGCACCATCACTTCCGCATTTTCAAGTTTGAGAACAATGCTCTACTTTCGTAACATGTGGTCGACAATATACTGCTCGATTGGATGCGTTGCTTTGTTTGTCTGCATCAGCTTCTGCAGAGCCGCGTTCGGTGCGACCTTTGTCAGTCCATCCGCGGCGT